AAGCAGGAAAATCACAAACCGAAGGACACACAAGCAGGAGAGTCGTGAACTGAGGGACAAGCAAGCAAGAGAGTCACAGACTGAGGGACAGGCAAGCAGGAGAGTCACAGACTGAGGGATACAAAAGCAGGATAGTCACAAACTGAGGGACACATAAGCAGGAGAGTCACTGACTGAGGGACAGGCAAGCAGGAGAGTCACAGACTGAGGGACACACAAGCAGGAGAATCACAAACTGAAGGACACACAAGCAGGAGAGTCGTGAACTGAGGGACAAGCAAGAAGGAGAGTCACAGACTGAGGGACAGGCAAGCAGGAGAGTCACAGACTGAGGGTTACACAAGCAGGATAGTCACAAACTGAGGGACACAAGCAGGAGAGTCACAAACTGAGGGACACACAAGCAGGAGAGTCACAGACTGAGGGATACATAAACTGGAACGTTACACATCAGACATGCAACATTCTTAAAATCAAATACTTGTTAGGAAAGTATTTGTTTAAGATTTCTGTTACTGTAAAATGTACCCATTTAAAAACAATTATCATCTTAATATTTTTGTTAACTGAAAAGTAATTTGTTGTACATATATCATTTCACATATGTCATAAGTGATTGTATTTATCACAGCTTCATGTCTGCAGTAGAGAAATTCTGAACACAAATTATTTTTGAAACTGAAACATGACAAACGGAAGGTAAAACCAAAGGCAGAACATCTTCCTTTGACTCTGACCAATACACTACAAATGAATGCACTTCATAATGCATAATTAATGACTCCAGACAACCAAGTCAATCTTAGCACTGTGCTTATTTAGAATCTACTTGCAAGTACAGAAACATATTGTTATAAAAATATCTTGTAAGACAATGAAATAAAGAAATATCTCAATAGCAACTGAGAAAAAAATCAAAGAAACCCAGTTTTAATCATCTCTTTTTTTGTTTTATAAGGATTTAATTTACAATCATAGCAGATGTTTCAGGAAATTCCACAAAACAAAGAAGATCATTTAGTTGCATAATGCTAATTATGCTAGCCTAGAATTATTAGAATTCTGTTAACTATATTCATTTTTGTGATTTTTGTTCTTGTTTTTTAACACTGAAATTAAAAATTAATTTGATGGCTTATGATGATTGGTTGCCCATAGCCCATTTCTTCCTACAAAAGAATGTACAAATCACCAGCTTGGAAGCTTATAGTATAAATGAGTCACTCGCCACTTCACCAAAATTAGCCATAAAACATCAGATAAACTAAGGAAAATTCCAGTGCCTAATCAAATAGTACTAACCTGAGCACAAGGGTCTGGTAACAAGGCTGTGAATTAGCCTGAATGAAATGTATTAGTCAATGGAGTTCTTGGATTCATTAAATTAAAATGAAATGCTTATTGGTAGTTGAAAGGAAATTGTTTTTAGTTGTTTACGATTGGATATAGTTAACAAATGCGTTTCTTTTATGCACATTCATCTGTACCTTCATTAAGGAAGTAATACAGTGCTCTTATCTTTGGCCAAACCTATCATTTACCAAGACTATAAATACTACTGAACATTGGATTGTTTGGTAGCAAACAATCTAGTTCCATGGAATCCAGTATTAAACTTGGCAATAAACTTGGGACACCTTCACTTGTCTTCCAAAGTACACCAAAACAAAAAGTTCTAAGTCATGTGATCAAGCTTAGACTGGAATTAAATATATCTGATAACTAAAAGAAATCCACAATGAAAACAATCATTTTCTCTAAGAGGGACATTGAGACTTTATTGAACAGACCCGACACGGATAAATTAATTGTGCTGAATACACAATTAATTTATCACAATACACTGAATACAGGTTTGTGCCAGGTAAATAGAATGGTCACAGAGTCATCAGACAGAACTGCATTACACAACAACCCAAAGCATGCAGCAGAACGTAAAACAGACATTTTTCAGATGTAAAATCTGATAGTTTTAGATGTATTAGCATGACCTATCCTGAATTCAACGGAAATATTATTTGATGATTCACAAGTTAGAGTCACATGGGAAGCCAATAGTTTGAAAAGAATACGGCAAATATTCACTGGACAGATATTGACACTTCATCTAAAACAGAATAAAATCTTTGTCCAAAAAGCACAAAAAGATCTACGATTAGAGCTTACATTTCTTGTCTATGCATGATAGCTTTTGTTAAAAACAATTGTTGTACTGCTATACTATTCTCTGAATTCTGTAATTTACGAATGCGATTCTAACTTATTACACTAAATATTGCTTATTTCATGTTTTAGTTTATGGTAGGTGGACCCTTCTATCTTTGTATCTGGCTATACTGTTTTAATTTGCATTAGATTTAACAGATAAATGCGGAAACAAAGTAAATGTTTTTTTTTTCAGCAGGAGTCATCTTTCTTCCATTTCCATTTCCTTTTCCATGAAAAGAAAAGCTGGTCTTAAACAACGTGCAAATTAGGTAGTTGAGGAAACTACGAGTTCCAGGGAGTGGAAGAAAACTGTGCAGTGAAATGTCGACAAACAAAAACTTTGGCAATATGCAAATTTGATCAAGTAAATTTCATTCACTTTTCAATAAATCGGATAAACATAAATACAAGCCATACAAATAAGTGCTGGAAAACACTTTCAACTAACCACATACAGTAGGTCTGTGTCTCAGCCATCAATATCTGGGGAACTCAATACAATAGCACTTAAATGCAAGTAAATGATTTTATCAGATGGATAGCCATGAAAATCTATTTCAGTAACAAGTTTTTCGACCTCAAATTAAAATTTCACAATTTCACACTTCCGGTAATGTACTTCTTTAGTACAACACTGTGATACAAATAAACTAAAACACAAAATTTGTGACATTTGTTTGGAAGTTTGTAAACAACTTTTCTGTCTAGGTTTTTGATATTTGTTCTGTACTTTGATGATCAATTATGTAACATTCGAAGCTGCCAACGGCCATATTCAACATTGAACCAATACCTGTGTTTCTCTGTTGTGTTTCTCAGGGTCCTGCTCGTAGCTCTCTGCGTAGATTCTGATGGTAGCTCCTGAACTGCCAGTTCCACCCAGCCTGAATATAATTCTTGATCCATCCGTAAAGATAATCCGCAGACCCTGTAAGCAGTTACAGTAGTGTTTCAAAATGAAATTTTCATTATAAAGAGTAAAACTGAGGTTTCTCCCATTCTTTTCTCAAGAGACTCCCTCTTAGCAATCAGCTAAATCACCCTGCAACTCACAGCTGGCAGCCCACTGAAGCTCAAAGGTGTGAGCCTGGCCAGTACCTGAATGGGAGACCTACTGGAAAAAGCTAAGGATGCTGCTGGAAGAGGTGTTAGTGGGGCCAGCAGGGGGCGCCCACCCTGCGGTCCATGTGGGTCCTAATGCCCCAGTATAGTGATGGGTACACTATACTGTAAAAAGGTGCCGTCCTTTGGATGAAAGGTAAAACTGAGGTCCTGACTCTACGTGGTCATTAAAAATCCCAGGACATTTCTCAAAAAGAGGAGGGGGCTATGCTGGTGTTCTGGCAAAATCTCCCCCTGGCCTTTACCAATCATGGCATCCTGATAATCCCCATCTGAGAGCTGGTGTGTGGTGAGTGTTCAGGAGCACTGTGGCTCTCATCACATCATCCAGGTGGGGCTGTACATTGATGGTGGTGGGGAGTCCCCATTACCTGTAAAGCGCTCTGAGTCCATGAAAACTTGATATAAGTGTAAGGATTAATATTATAATCACTTTTATCCTTACAAGGAGCACTGAATTATTATGTGATGCAGCTCCATTTAAACTAAGGAATGAACAATGTGGATCCTATGCAATCTTAGCAAAACCAAAAGGATTACAATACAGTACAGAAACATTCTAGAAAGAGAGTCAATGAAAACATTTACAAGCCTTGCCTTTGGTACTTACCAGAAGGAGATAAACTGGGATGTAGAAAGTGGTATTTTATTAGATTACTGTCTGTAAATCAGCCATCTCTTTGTACTACTATTGTACTATTCTTAAAACAAAATGATAGACACAGAAAGCTCATCAACGCTTAAAGAAATAAAATGTCCAGCAGATGTCACTACAGCCTCAGATTTCAATAGTCCCTGAATGAACAGAGGTATGAAGAGTGAAGACAAAAGTTTGGACAGTGGTGCAATGGTCAGTATTACCTCCTTGCAGTATCGCGGCTCTGTGTTCAATTCGTGGGGTGCTATCTGTGTGGAGTTTGTGTGTTCTTCCAGTTTTGGTGTAAGCTTCCTCTGGGTCCACCCACAGTCCAAAGACTGTAAAAATGGCCCCGGTGTGAGTGCTTGCGTGTCAGTGTCTGTGTGAGCCCTGCGATGGACTGGTGTCCTGCTTGGAGCCCATTGCTTGCCAGGACAGGCTCTGACACCCCCCGTGACTCCTGTACTAGACACAGCAGCTAGAAAATGGATAAATAAAAAAGTCTCTACTTGTTCCTAACATGAATAAGAATGTTATCACTGCAATATATTTGACCCATGTGAAGGTGAAGCCTTGGAGATGAAATGCGATGAGACTGAAAAACTAGAACTGCAACCGGAATATCTTCTGAATCATAACCTATTTTCTTTTCTGGTAGCGGATGAGTCAATGACAAAAAAGATGCATGAGGCATTTTTTCATAATCCTTTGCCCATGGTGCTATCGTCACTTGCTATCCCCACGTATGGTTCCTCTGTGAAAGTGTCAGGCGATAACGTTTGTGGGGCCACACAGTTTTCAGCGCTGTCGGTGTTTGAATGTGCCCTGCTGGTTCCCAGGACAGCTGCTGCTGCAGCAGACAGGCGCTGGGGAGAAGGACGACAGCTGATGCAATACCGGCTGTCTGGGATTTCTGGAGCTTTGTCACACGGTTCACAGTAGGCCGGACAAACAAATAGGTGGAGAACCAAATGCCGGTTTTGTTTTTCTTCAAAGAACTGCATGCGTGATAAAGGAATGAGGCTCCTTAACTGTAACTTCTGGAAGATGAGCTGCACTGGCAGCTAATGTGTGATGAATAGAGCATACGCTACACTTTAGTGCACACAATAAACTCGGTGGCCAACCAATCTGTTCATCATTTCCCGTGGACATTTTTCTTCCTGAAAGAGTTGCATCCACCCAGAACCTACTAACCAATCTACTGTGTGTGAAACCGCAATGGTTATTTGATGTATTCTGAAGCTTGGCCACTGTCAACAGGGTATAGATAAATGTCAAAGCCAACAAACTGAGTTGGTTGCTCTCGATAGGTTTGAGGAATTCCCTTGTAGGGGGGGGTCAATAGGACACAAGGTCTCAGCAGGGAAAAGAGAAAATGTTCTGGCCAGGGTCATCTGTTCTGAGACACTGCATGAAACAGTGCCAAGAGCAGGAAATGTTGTTTGAAGCTCTGCATACACTCTCCCAGTTCATCTGTCAAACTGCTAAAAACTCCTGTCATATTTCATTCGACATTTCTGCACTTTCTTGGAACTCATGTGTCGTAAAGCCTTGAACTTCATTTCACTCACAGTGCATTTATATTATTTGACGTGTATGTTGTGCTAGGTACTTTACAATTCAACTGCTGGATGCAACCAGGCCTTTGAGAATACAAGGAAATGTATAAAATAATACACAGACCTCTTAATTAGACGTGCATTTGGAATAAAAATAAATGGAAGGTTCCTCAACAAAGCTGATGGTTTTTTGAGTGGTAATGCACATCAAAATACACTCATTACAGAATTGTGAGATATCCTTAGGCTACAACTCCAGTACTATCCTGCAATTCTGATTTCACCAGCAGCAAATGACTACAGACAATGCTGTAAAAAAGAAAGAATCTTTACAGCAGTCTAATTTTTGCTGATATGGGTTGTTTTTAAAATAAGGATTACTATTTAGGCTTAGTGGAGTGAAAGTTTAATTTATTAGCAACAGAAGTAATGTTAGGTTAGAAACTGATTTCTATACATTGTGACTGTAGAGCACAGATTAAAATAGCTCCAGACTTTCACCTTTTCTGTGGCATTTCTCCACAAAATTATTGCATTAGTGGAGAGTTAATGCATGGTATTTGCTTTAGATGTCTTTAGCATCATGGTTCCCCAGAGACTGCTAACTTTAAAGAGTGGTTTAGAAGATTTATTACATCCCCTTTATTATTTCCAGAATAAAAATAAATAAATAAAAAAACACCTAAAGAGGTTTGTCCTACTATGGTCAAAATTAAGAAAAACGCTAAACGTGCCCGACATTGCCTCTTTGCTTATTCCCCAGTTGAAGTATGATTACATGAGTGACCTAAAAAACAAAAACGTAATTTTCTCAACTTAATACTTATTTTAGAAACTTGCTTCAATCTTGTTTTTTTTTTTTTTTTCAGAACAGAGCCAGGTAAGACCAAAAAAAATCCTATTCTGGACAGGATAAGAAATAAAAAAAGAACATGATAAATAACATGTTCGGCTCTAAACAGGTATTGTACTTTGGAAATAAAAACGGTTTTCCTTGTTACTGCCATCTACCGATTATTTAATGTTGAAATTTCATTAATCAATGGCTTCTGTCATGTCAGGCAGATAGTGTAAATGGATCCTGTGCAGGATCGGTCCAAGCCGAAACGCTAAGCAAAAACGAATACCAGGAAGCGAGCGAGTAGGTCTGTACACGGGAGAGACAATCAGGGAGCGACAATCCAAATCACTAGGCGAATAACGAAACCAGGAAGCAAGCGTGTAGGTCAGATCACGGGAGAGGCAACGAAAGGGCAACAATCCGAAACGTAAGGCTAGGTCGAAAACGGAGAGCAGGCTAGACGATCAATACCGAGAGGAAACTAGAAGAGCATAAGGCGCACTTGGGACCTCTAAGAGAATCCGCAATAGTGAGCGGGGAAGTGAGGAAAGAGGAGAACTAAAATAGGGACGGGAGTGAACGGTGATTGGCGTATTACCTGCGGTGTGAGCGTTTGTTAAAGAGTGTGCGCGTGGGAATGCAAGGAGGGACAGAGACGCGAGTGGAATAGGCTTCCTTCGTTAGATTTGAACCTCCATCCGTCATCAGAAATATGCTTTTGCTGGTGAGAGTTCAGAGCCCAGAGATTAGAGAGCTCGAGACAGCTCTACCCCTAGACAGGACTCCAATCCAACAGAGGTGCACATACTGTAGGAAGGGACAATTCAGAGTAGCTAATAAACCCTAACCAGCATTTCTCCTGCTAACCAGCATTTCTCCCTCACTAAAGTCAGTGCACCTAGAGAAACTCTACAAACAACATGCAAACTCCACATAGTCAACTACTCAAGGCAAACCCAGGAGCCTCTGAGAACTGAGGCAGTGTACTTACACATCATTGTGCTAACCTCAGTTCAAAATATTTGCATTGTAAATATTTTTATTTTCTTTATCAGATGCTTCTATGTTTAAAAGGTTGCAGGAGTGATTGGAAATAAGGTAATGTGCATTTTCTAACCACCTGCTCTACTTATACTTTTAGAATGTGGGACTTTACATATTAATTTTTTTTGTGGCTTTTGGTTTTTAATTCAAAATTGTATACAAAATATTTTTGAAGATTTAATGGAATTAGGATTATGACTGTGTGAAGAGGGTGTGAGAGTTCCCCTGTTCCATTGTTTTCCTGGTTCATTTGCTCAAAGTAGTGACTAGTGAAACAGAGAATTGCAATAAAAAAAACGAATGAATTCTGAGATGTTTGATGAATTGAGAGGTGTGTGAAGGTTGAAGCTGGCTCCTACAGTCTCAGAGCTCTCGTGATTGAACTCAACTATGTTATTGGCAGATCTGACCTGGTTCCTGGCCACAGTGCCATCCACAGGGTCTGTGTACTCAAAGCTGTCTGCCTTTTCCACGCTGTACACATGGCTCCCCACTGCAAACTTCTGACTGGCAAACGCTTTGTCAGTGATCACAGCTTCCAGGTCCCTTATCATGTAGTGTGCGGCTCTGGGGTCCACACCTTCATAATCAAACCTAACAGAAAATAACAGAAAAAACATGACACCGCTGAAGACTCCAGGAAAACATTTTACAGACAGCATACAAAAAAAAAGCGAGGACACACTGGTATGTTCTTTTAAGAGAGCAGATCACAGTGTATTCATTCGTTTGAAGGACTGAAGAAATATGTCAGACAGAAGCTAGTCCATATTTAAAGAAGGCAGCTGGGGCCACACACAGTGGCAGTGGCAAAATGTGAGTGGAATTATACTGCTGTATGTGGTGGAGTCCTGTGATGTCTGTGCATTGGATTCGCCTCTTGTCGTTTCAAAAACTGCATCTTTGAATCCCCGCACGTGATTGCTTTAAAGGAGCATTAAATTCAGCAATATAGGTTAATAAATTGAATCGTACAGCGTAATTCTTTAAGTTTGCCATTATGTACATTTTTCTAATGCTCTGATTCTTATTTTCCGCTCAGATTCACCACAATGAGAGTTTTGCACTTCACTGGCTGTACAGTCTGCTGCGTGCATTTTAACACAAATATTAAAGATGTTTCTGGAGTATTTCAGGCATTTATATTTTATCACCATAGCTGTGTTGAAAATTATACACTGTCTTGTGTGTCTGCAGGCCAATGTTGTAGATCATAATTACGGATTAACTTCTTTCTCTTATTACACAATTTCTCCTAAATTTTACTGCTACGGCTACTGTTGTTTCTTTATTTGAATTCATTGGATCCATGTATAGAACTCACCCCTGGCTGGCCAGTTAGCTACAGTAACTGAAATAAAGATGTTAAAATAAACATGTTTAAAAAAACAAACTGGATTTCATATAATTAAAACTGTAAATAAATATCCAGCACTCCACCAGAAAACTACAGAAGGCCTGCCTGCCCTGGAGTTCTCACCTGCAGATGTAGTTGCGCCCCAGCTTGGTCCAGTGTTCCCTCACGATCTCCTCCACACTCTGTTTCCGGGCAGCTACGATGGAGAGCCAAGCCAGCACTGCCCACAGGCCATCTTTCTCACGGATGTGGTCCGAGCCTGTTACAAGAAGAGCGCTGTCTGTGAATCAGGTGTCCAGGAGAGCTAGGAGGCTCAGATATCTGTTCATACCCTGCTGCTTACCCACAAAAGACAGAATGACCAGCAGCAGGATTTTGTTAGATTCCATGTCCTGAATTATTTCATGGGGTATAAAGAATTTTGGATTAAATAAGACACTGTCTGATAAAACTCCTACAGTTGAACGGGACTAAAAAAATCAGACAGCAGGTAGCACAATCCTGATTTCGCTATGGTGTGACGGGTTCAACCCTATCCCTTCTGGGAGTTTATTATATCTGCTCATCGGTTCAACGTAGATACAGTTCCAACTCCTAGCTCAGAGGCTCCCAGCCCTGGTGCTGGAGCAACGCTGTATCTTGTGATCTGTGCTCTAAGACTCTAAGAAGGACTCTAAGAAGCTGAGCTGAAGGGAGATTTGATCCATTTTCTATGTTTCAGAACTGGCCTCATTCAGGTGCCTGAGATGGACCTAATTGGAGATCTGCTGAAGGAAGAATCACTCATTGTGGGGGTGTGATACAGTGTTGCTGATGTCATTGGGAAAAGTAGCTGTGCAGGAAGGGATTTTGACACTCAGGACAAACTGAAGAAACACGCTAAATAAAACTCTCCACAAGCAAGCAGATCAATTCTGAAATACCAGCGCAGTTGTAGCTGTAATGAAAACCAGCAATCACAGTGCTGTAGACAGTGGGAAACTCTGCTAAACCAAAGTTCTCCTGCCTCAGAAGAATTCTGCACTGTCTTCTGCCTTCTGCAGCCAGACATTGCACACAGAGCCCTTTTACACAGGCATTATTTAAAGCTTTTGAAAGTTATGTACTGCAAAAGCCCTATCATATCCTTAAGCCTTTTCAGTTCCCACTGCAACACTATGTGAATCACTGTATCACTGGAAGAGCAATGAATAACTTGCTAAAAACCAGCGTTTTTCATTTTGTTGTTGACCCACTGAACAGCTTCTTTTCTGTCATAATTTCATTGCCTCGCAGTTCTCTACTAGCTTCATTTACACACTGCGTGGTGCTGTTCTCTTTCTACAGTATCTCTTAATCTGGGAAAATAAAGTGCTATTTTTGTTTGCAAAAATGGCCCTGGTTGCAACACTTGAAAAGATATCTGTAGCTTAAAGGAAGTCCCTCTTAACACAACAAAGCACACATTTTTTATTCATTTGAGATAAAATTGTGTCTGGAGAGTTAAACATTCTTTCCCATGTCATCTCAGGAAACACAGCCAATCTCTTTTTAGGGCAGTTAATATAACAAATGATACTGCAACAGTGACAACAGAGAGTCTGCTGTGGTGCATTGAGAACGAGTTGTGGTAACATATCGGCGCATTTGCTGTTTTGTTACAAGATATAGAAAACGACTCTCTTGCTTTTTCAGTCGTAAAGCCTAATTTCAACGTCTTCCGTGGAACACATATGACATCGGGGTTCTTTGTTTCACATGCTTAGCAAGTCACAAACAACATAAAAGCTGGAGCACATTTAGTAAAGAAAGGTCAAGAGGGAAGACAACAGCCAAGTTCAATCAGCCTCAGCTGTCAGTAATTTGTAATCACTCCTGACGTAATTTCCTCACATAACAACTAGGAATACTATACGTAATCCCCCTCTCTCCCTCGCCTACAGTACGTCTTTTGCATCGCCCCTCCACACCATCTCCTGCCCCCTGGTCACTCCTCACTCCACTTGGGGGTCGGCCCTGTGGTCAAGAGCCCGGCCCTCAGCCAAGCGGGATAAGCCAGACTGACTGTAACTAAAACACTTCATAAACCTTTCAATATGCTTAATTCTTGGGTGTTGTCATTTCGAGTGAATCGCGGAATGGGAAAGATGACTCAGGCCTCACGTTTAAGTTTTTATCTCAGTGGGAGACCAATGTAGGAAGATCAAAATAACCCATCTCTGCTTCCTTACCAACTGCCTCTCAGCCTCCAAACACCAGCTCCACAGATATACTCTACCATGGCCCAAAACAAAAGAGTTCTATCTATTTCCAGACATTGCTACACCAGATTGCAAATTTTCTTTGGCTGCCAAGCTTCTCTAGAAACGCCTGTATATTGACTACAATAGTTTCCAATAGTTTCCAGGACTAAGACAATTATTTTGAAATAAGAGAGGAACGGTTTTTAGACGAGAATACTTCAGCTGATCCAGTCTCAATATATGCAAATAAGACAATACAAGGAGAACAGAGGAATGGAGTTGAGCCTGTTTGACAGCCACCAATTCTCAAATAATTCCTGTACAAAAGCACATTAAGGAAAAAAAACCCAATATTTTAACAGTCAACACACACTGGCATAATAATAACAATAACAATAATAATCATAATCATCCAAATCTTCAAAGGCTTTCACATATTTATATTGCATCTAAACAGAGCACACCAGTGGAAACGACATGGAACTGTGTTTGAAACCAACAACAGGAAGACCTGCTTTGCCAAAAGATCCAGAGACCTCTTACAGCCGTTTCTTGAAAGACATCAAGGTTCAGACAGCTTCAACTGCATGGCTGGGTAGCTCATTCCAGGCACCCAAAACCCTTTGGGTAAGGAAGAGCCTCCTGTTCTGTGTTTTGAGTGCACTGCCATGTAGTTTTCACTGCCATCTGCTTTGTAAAATATATATTAACAATATAAATAAATGAACAGTATAGTATTTTTAAATAGCATTTGTAGTTGACTAAATTTTGTTGCTGACTGACAAATGTCAAGAATCAATTATCAAAAATTAGTCTGGTTTCTTTGCCGCTCTATGAAAGAAGCCAGGGTATGAACTTCAGTAACATTGTAGTGGTTGTTTGCTACTATATATTTAGAAAAGCTAAAATACAATGATTTAACAACCTCACAAATTATCGGTAAGGTGTTACTCCTGTTCTCAAATGTCTTGAGTAAGCGTTCTCTTAGTTTACATTTTACTACTGTACATGGCAATAATGACATTTTGTGTCATTATTGATCCTGTAGTAGTGCATTGTAGTTGGCATTGTTTGAATAAATCAGTTGGGTTCCTTTGACCTGGAATATCCATAGAACTTGATGCCATCCAAAAACAGGCTCTAAAAATTTAGCAAATTACTGATATAGAGGTGCCATGATAATCGTCTCTTCATGGCAGGGTACTGTATACTGTATATAGCAGCCACACTCATTGATATGTACTACACTATTGGTATATGACTACACATTGATCCGTTGTGTACTGTTATCTCACATTAGTCCCTCTTACACTGTGGAACCCTAAACATTTGCTGCTCCCAGTGAGACCGAAAGACTTTTTGAATTTACATTCCTTTTTGAAGTGTGACATTAACTTGTGTGTGATCGTTTTCAGTTTAAATGCATGACACAGCCCCCCAATCTAACTTGTACATATTATGCTTCTGTCTAATTAGGCTTCCTAGTAATAACATTCATGCAATGCTCAGACAATTTTCCTTTGAGCCTAGTTATCCAATCCACTCCATGCATAAATAATTGTTTCTATAGCCCCACAGAAGGCCATATAGGGAAAAAAGACATAAAAATGATACACTATTAAAGTGCATAAAAACACTTTAAAATACATTTACAGAATTCAAGTCCATATTGAGTAGCTTATAATCATTTTTAATTCTGATGTTTAAAGTGAAAATACATTCTCTACAATGTAAGATTGATTTACCAAAATGGCCACTGTACTATACACCATTGAAAAATTCAGCAATTTCCAATAACACCAAGGTAAATATCCAATGCTAAGTGTCATTAAGGTTTTCAGAGACCACAGAAATGTTAAGGGAACATGATCTGCATGCACTTAGAAAAGAAACAATGAAATATAGACACATCATTCATATCTGCACAACCTACATTCATTGCAGGCCATTGCAAAGAGACAGACCGCTCTGGTTTTATCTCTCAATATAGGAATTGCGGAGTTCTGTCGATAAAACCTTTCACACCCAGTCACTTTAGGGTACAAAACGACTCATTTGTAATTTGGCACCTTTTCAGTACATTCATACCCCTTATAGGATTCTAAAACTGATCCGGGGCCTCTCGCATCAGGTATCATCAGCTTTCATAAACAATGCCTAAACATACTGTATAAACATTTAAACAGTCAAATAGCACAGGGGAGTTCTTACACTACCTTCAGTTATAGATTTGAAAAACAAAGCATTCTGTTAATCAAATGCGAACACTTTATTTTCTATGAAGATTTCTCAGTCAGAACATTCTCTGCTTCCATATACTGGCACATACTGAGCACAGCAAGCATTGGCACAGGCTGCAACATGACACTAGGCTGACTATAAAAAGAGAAGAACACAGGGGTATTACTGTAGTGACATACAAGGAAGTAACTCAGTCTCAAGGTCTTCATGACAGTTACAAACCCAAGAGGCTCATCCAGGTCATCTAAACACAATTCATTTTCAACTGCGTTGTATTCGCTGATTCCACCAGATGCAATAGAAATAAAAAAATGACATAATCTCCAAATACTACTCAGTGATGTACGACTATGACAAAATTACTTAGGGATCATTACTGGCTATTTTATGAAGGCACTGTAGCAACGTATTTAATTATTTGACTTCATCCGGTATAACCTAATCGGATATAATTAGAAGTATTTAGCAAAATATCTTCAAAGTCTGACTAGTGTTACTTATCCTAATCAAATATGCTTCCTATTACACAGGTAAAGGAATGTGTAATTGAATGAAATAATCCAAGTCATGATTATGAGTCATGAGTAAAACATTACTTTGAAAAGTAATTTACTTGCTTGAATATTGCATTCAGTATTTCAAACTGAATCATTTCTGGTTCATTTCTACCCTGAAGGCATAAGTAGTAGGTGTAATCCAACTACTTAATAGTCTTAATAATTCTCTGCAATTAACTACCAATTTAAAATTTTAGATTATGTGACAGTTCTACATATATTGCATGGTGAAACAGTGATAAGCATTGCTGCCTCACAGCACTAGGGCCCTGCTTCAATTCCAGACCTGTGTGGAGTTTGTATTTCCTCCATGTCTTCACGAGGGTTTCTTCCCACAGTCCAAAAACATACTGGTAGGTTAATTGGCTTCTGGGAAACCTGACCCTGGTGTGAGAGTGTGTGTCTGTATCTGTGTCTGTGTGTGCCCTGTGATGGACTGGCGTCCCATCGGGGGTGCCCAGGCATCACAGGCTGTGTGCTCGTTGCTTTCCAGGATGGGCTATGGCTCCCCCTGCCTGTGCACGGCACAATGCGGTTTGAAAATGGCGGGATGGCTTTTTCACCTATCAAGACTCATCGATCTCCTTTGAAGGAGATTTCACATTGAAATACTTGTCTAAAAAGTGTAGTCTAATACTTCTCAGTACAATTGTAATCTATGCTTCAGTTTGAAATAAATGTTACTTCTTGCAATATTAATGTGGAGTATTTTAAAATGCCGCAAAAAATTTTGGGACATTGAAAAGTGTGCCAGGAGCTGCAAATATCTGAGTAGCCCTGCCTTTAGGAGCCAGTACCAATAAAAGGCAGCCCTGCATCATAAATGTCTCAGATATGCAGGGACCCATCAGTTTCAACACTATCCTATTTGCCTTAAATGGGCTGTAAAGCATTCAGATGGCATTTCTCCGAAAATCAGCAGCATGTTACTTCCAAATGAACACTACGACAGAAATGGAATAATTAAGCTCCGCTTTTCCCATTCCTTGACGTCCTGCCAAGAAGGCTGTCTGGGGAGAGAAGCCCAGCTGGAGGATGCTTCACAAGCTTTCTTCCTTTTATAGGAGAAGAATGGCTATTATTTAGAATAGGGATTTCAATGAGGACATAATGATTTAGAGAACAAAGTGAGTTTACTCTTTAGCTTCATGTATGTTTGGGGTGGGGCTGAATCAGAGGACAAATAACAAGAGCAAATATTTTTGGTAAACCTCACTATCACTCAAAAGTATTATGACTTGACATTCACGATCCTGTGCAGTTGCAGTATACTGCTGTGAAATATAATGAAAGCAGCCTGGCAGGCTCTCAGTTTGGAGAAGCTGCGATGTTTTTCCCCTCTTCAGTTCCTTATGGATTTAGTAATTCTGCGAAATCTGAAGCCTGTCTGTCCAGATAAACGGTTCTTCCACTGGGCCGTTCTTGATGTGACATGCAGTTGACACTAAACAGGAGTGGAAAAAGCTGCCCCTCACCAGTTCCAAAGCTTTCCTCTCCACCAAGGGAACATCTCCCAGAATCCATTAAATTTCCGAAGAACTTCCAGCCAGTGGGGGTTTCATACAGCGCTACCTTCATAGCCTTGGCCACCCTGAGAAAACAGAGGAGGATTGTGAGGAGAAAAAATTTCAACCTACAGTGTTGGAAATTTTGCCCAAATTCTAGTTCTTTTCTTAGTAAGGATATGCTAATCTTGCTTAAAACATGTCAACATAGGAACACAAAAACAGGATAATGAAATCGAGCAAGTCCCAAAATATCTGGAAAAACAGCATTCAGGTATAACTGAATCCATTTTGCATGGTTACTTTTCCCAACTTAAAAATAACTGTTACCTTTTGCTTTGTTTTTCTCTTTACATAGATCAGGATGAAAACATTTATTCAGATTTTGTACTCCAATAATTTTTAATCAACTTTATTGAATGAACCTGATGTTCTATTGCAAAGAACAAACCCCAGAAACCTGAAGACTCACAGAAATCATCCTCACAGGGAGGACAAGAAACAACACATTCTAAACAGGGCTGTTGCACAAACTGTGCATTCCTGGAGGACACTTTTACCATATAGCCACTATATAGGGAACCCTTGGTCCTGGGACCCCCAGAGGTTACTTTTCTCTCACTGGGAGTTGGCAGTTGTTTTCCTCCCTCTCTCCCCAGTGGCCAACTATTATTATATTGTTAACTGTTGTATAGATCTGGGAAGCACTCTGTGGTGAACGGCACTACACCAAATGTCGATTGATTGGTTGATTGATTCGTTTGTTGGTTAGTTCATTGATATATTGATTGATTTATTGATTGATTGCAAGGTCAAATTTGTTTTAATGTTTTACAAAAAAAAGTCTATCTGAACATAATTTATTTTCCTGAAAATTAAAGTTCAAGGTAGTGGGGAGAGTTTCAGAGTGTTAGCAACATTTCATTCCAGACATTTTACACAGCTGAGATGAAAAACTCTTTCATGGGTTGCAGTTCTGAAGTTACAAAATCCCAAATAAATGCCAGCAGTTGTCTAATCACATTATAAAATCATTATCTGATATGATTTCAAAGCACTTTGTTTTACATGAACTATACACACTGCTGTGAATATACCTTGAACACTTAAAACACCATTACAACACAAGCAGGAATTAAAATAAATCCTGCATAAAGCTTCCAGTACTGTTTTCCTCTAATGTAACTACTTTGAGAGTTATTAATTACAGCTTAGTTTGACTGAGAACAAACCACGTTTCTCATAAAGGATGTTTAATTCACATTCATCACAATATTTAAAAACTTGTGAGCAACTTGTGGTAGTTTACTCCAACTCAACTATACAAGTGCTGTCGATATAAAGAGGTAATAGCTAATCCATCACCTTTATGTGTCAAATCTAATCAACATATTGTCAGGTGTTCCTTGTTATTAGCATAGTGTTCTTTTCTACACATCCATTAATGCTAAAAGGCTATTTTAGTATTATCGTTTTGTATACTATATAGAGTAGTGCTAAATTAAAACAAAATGCTATTTCAGTCGGAGATCATACAATTGTGTCTCTGCATAAAAGAGATACTGAGTGAAAAGAACTGAACTAACAAAACATTACACACTTTAAACCTGTATGGACAGGTTCATATATGTATCTTTCAAAATTGTAATAACACTGACTAATAACTGCAAGAAGAAGACTTTTAATGTAAAAATAAGAAAAAAACAAAAATCAACTAAGTAACCTTACAAGAAGATTAACGAACTCTGTAATTCCTTTTCATTTTAGATACTTCTGCATAGAGGTGTCGAACATACTATATGACTAACTGTGTCTGCATGTTTCTGACAAAACTTCTGGGTTAATACTTCATGCAAGAAAGACCTATAAGAAGGCTTGATTTAGACTTTAATAAAGTGCATGCCTTGTACACACATTGAAACTCAACATGTTTATCATGTTGCCGTGGAAACCAAAGGCTAGGCAGGACAGAGCTTTCTCCTGACAGGTTTGATGTGGTGCTAGCAACAGATTGCTAGTGGGTCATAGCCAGAACAGAACGGAAAGGAATAAAGCTTTTGGACAAAGTTTTTTGGGTATGAATGTGGACGTGTTCAGCACAATGCCATTATTCCAAAGACTGTAAGGTTTGTGCTTACTCTGAAAATAATATGGTTCTTTAATGTACAACCCAGAGCAAAAAGACAAGAAGGACACATAACGTGAAGTTTTATTCACCATCTTATTATTCAAGTTCTGTGCATTTTCTCATGACCTTATGCAGTCGCAGCCTCCATGATTTGCATCGGTGTTGCGCTGATGGAGAAGAGACAAGAAATCAGCTGCAGAATATTGAACTTTGAACTTGACCAATGACAGCGAGGCTTAGAACAGTACTGTATCACGGCACACCCTCATTGGGTCCTACACCTGATGCATGTAATGTAGCACCAGCAGAGGGCACTGTCCCACTGCCAGGGAGATGGGATTACAGCCACATAGCACTAACTCCCCAAACTCCCTTGCTCTGAATTTGCCACCCTGATCCTTCTGTGCCTTCTGGTGCTCACCTTGGAAACAGGCAGCTATCTCCCTTCCAACTTTTCCTTTCATTATCTAGAAATACGGAGCAATTTGCCAGAAAGGGGGCCATCAAAACATGTAACAAGGCATAGTGTGTGCCTGCTACAAAAAGTGACTTCTATCCCTAGAAGCCAGACATTGTTGAATTCTCCAGAGCCTTGTTGATACACAAAAGTGCTAGCTTCAATATAGAAAGCAATGATTTAAATTCCTGAACACTTAATTTCACACGGTAACTAACAGTATCTTCTCTATATATTAATATGGTGCCTACCGTAGGAAAGCTTTCTTTATCATATCCATTCCTAAAAGGACTGGTCTCTGATCTCTCACAGCAGCCTTGCTTGACTCCACTGACATCAATGTGTGAGGTATGTGTGTCTTTCTGCCAGCATCCATATCTTAGAATATCCTGCAAAGTCTCTTCCAAAAGGCACATGACAGGCCTGTACGGCACACTTTGTAACTAAAATCAGTTTCACACTCAGTTAATACATTCATTTTAACAATGAAGGCAAAAATGACAAAAACGTAATGACAACAAAAGTGAAATCCCTGAATTATCTGTTAATGTGTCAAAACAGTGACAATAACCAGCCAATGAATGTTAACTTCTAGTAGAATAATGCATTTCTGGAGAATATGGATGTTTACAACTCAAAATATAAAAATACAGAAATGACAAGACTCCGTAATGGATAATACAATGCTAAAGAGATATATTCTACCAGTATGACATGACCTTGGATTTATCCATTAGGCTTGAAAGGTCTTTGGCTATGAGTTTATTTTTACTCCTGCAAATTCATTTATGCATCTATATGACTTTCCATTTGTGTTTCTTTTTAGAATGTTATTTCCCAATTACTAAGAACCTGTTACGGTGAAAATGACAAGACTTCTCAGAATTGACTTAGAATGATATGTACTAGTATGAAAAGCAGGGACATTTTTAGAATATGTTGCTTATTCTAGAATAAGTTGAGACACGAGTCAATAATACATACTGTTTAATCAAAAACGTCTGATTAACAAGATACTAATATGAATGCAAGATAGTGTACTAACATGTGGGTAGAGTAATTCACCATTTCAACACATGAACACTGTTTATTTTCTTTATTCAAATCGAACATAAATTAACTTAGAATTATGTAATGAAGTCATGTTGGAAATCACAATTGCACACCCAGCTGGGATGCATCTATTTTCACAGATTTGTTTGACAGTAGTGGATAGCTATTGTTTCTTATACAGTGCTGTGCAAAAGTCTTAGACTCAATCATGCTTCTTATGATCATTTAATCAAAGCCATTAGTGTTTTCTACTATTCTAGCAACTTTGACTTTTATTAGTAAAAAAGGCTAAACTTGTCATTTAGCAATATTTACTTCACATTCATTGGAGTCTTCTAAATATTACAATCACAACATGCAAAGGTCTAGCAAATCCATAGTAGCAAATCCGTCACAAGTACCAAACAAAATCTAATTGGCTAAATGTCAGGTGTTCCTCAGATTTAACATTATTTTTCACCCTTCACATACACATTAGAGCTAAAAGGATACATTTTGTATGACAACATACAGGACTAGCGCTCTTAATTGTTAGCTTGAAACAAAAAGGTTAGAAACAGTAGACAAAAGAAATGTGTACAGCTCAGTGCTCTTCATTTTATCAGTAGCTAAACCACATTAGAACCTCATCCCATTCTATTACAGAGTGCAGGGACTGGAGGCAGCGATGGAAGTCTCAGACAATGCTCTGGTGTCACCCTGATTTCCCCTTCTACCAGAAATTTCAAACCTACTTAGACCAGAGCTGCTGTAGGACTTTATAAATAATGATTCCTTGCGTTTATATAGTTCATGTCATCCCGAAGGATCTCACGACACTTTCCACACAAGAGGGCACCACTGTAGAACACCCTTGATGTGTGACAGCCATTCAGACACAAAACAGATCAGGCGGAGAACTGAGAGTGGAGTCACTGCAGCAAAGGTGAGCATTCCTGGTCTTGGAGGCACAGTTTATTATCTGCTTATTGGGACCAATTTAACTTACTGTAAGTTAGCTTCTCCAAGCACTTCAGATATTGGTCCTTTGAAAAGATGTAGAAAACCAGCAGGTACACCAGCCCTACAGGACCAGGATTGACTACTGCTGCTTCCTTAAGAGACCAATTAACATTTCTGTTCACACGTAATGACAGATAATGGTTCCATTCATCCAGTCTTTCAACTGACTAGGCTTTACTCAATAATTTCACAGTGAATTCTGGAAAGGTTAAGACATTTGAAAAAATCAGGAAAACAGGAATTCTCCCATGAATGCTTTTAACTTATCAGAAGTATTGCGCCTCTTTTCTCTGTTTTTCTACACATAGAAAAATGTACAGCTGAAAATAGCAAGTTAGTATTTTGTTTCTGACAAATTATTTAACAGTAGGAAATATGAGGCATGGAGGACAAAATAACTATCCCTTTTGAAATCATTAACCGTATTGAAAAAGTTAAAATGACAA